ACCCTCCTCTCCAGGACCCCTGAATAGACCTTACCAGGGAGGCTTAAGAGTGTGACCCCCACCCCCACCCCTGTAATTGGAGCACACCCTCAATGGGGACCACCACCCCAGTCTGCCAATCCAGGGGGACTGCCCCCAATGTCCATGCGATATTGCAGAGTTGCGTGAACCAACGCAACCCTACAACATCCAGAGCCTTAAGGAACTCTGGGTGGATCTCATCCACCCCCGAGGCCCTGCCACCGAGGAGCTTTTTGACCACCTCGGCGACCTCGTCCCCAGAGATCGCAGAGCCCAACCCAAAGTCCCCAGGCTCAGCAAAGTAAATACATACTGTATAATACAATTAAAATGGATTTATTTTCATTTAGAGCTTTTAGCTAAAACCTAAATGTCTTCTTGTCACTTAGTAACAAATAAAAAGCTTCATGTTGATCATCTTGAATGTTTAAAACAGTCCTAATTTAAGAAACTCTGTTTAACCTGTTATTGCAGCATCCTTCAGTGTGTGAGACTCGTCGCTCAGGTTTTACTGACAAAATCTGTACGAGGAGAACAAAAACAAGAAGTGACTTCTATGTTTCTTAGAGAAATAAATAAAGAAGAAGACGTGAACAGTTCTTATCTCGCTGCAGTTTTTAAAACAAAAGCACATTGGAAGAAGGAGTTTGACTTTCTGTTTCGGCCAATTATCAGCACAGAGAACAAACAGCAGAGTTTGTGGCGCACAGCCTGTGGGGGCAAGTTAACAACTTCTCCTGATTTAACAACAGCTCTTCAAATTCAAACACTCTCTCAGAGCAATGATGCTGGTAAATTGGGACGTGTTTTTCGGGGGTGGGGGGGGGTTATGCCTGAGAGTCATTACATCTCTCCTCCAAATCAAAGCRTCTCACTGACAGCTGTCTGTGCAAACAGGAACTATTAAAAGATAAGTCAGCAGCGGCGGTGGTGGTGCTTGTAAATCCTCTCTGCTCTCTTTGTTCGTCTTGTTCAGAAGCAAAAATAAAATCCTCTCCAAACTGACAGCAGCAAATAGTTTGACCTCAGTGACTCAGACTGAAAGCTGCTGTTGTCTTTCCTCCTCATCGTCTCTTTGCAAACGCATCATGGAGGAAGGTTTCACACAAACAGAYGCAGACTGAGACTGAATTAATATTTGTCAGTTGGGGTTAAAAATCAGAAATCACAAATAAATGAGTCGTGCTGTTCTGTCAGATGAGTTGTTTAGTTATGATGGGAACTGAAGGTACTAATAAAGACTTGTAACTGGATTTCTTTCACGTGCAGAGTGTGGAAAGGCGATGGGCCTCATGCGAGAACCGTTCGTACGCACAGATTTATTCTGAAGTTGTGCGTACGAGTGATTTAGGAGAGTTTGTGGCATTCACCAATTTTCTCGTATTCTAAGATTTTTTTCAGATACGAACAAAATTCACGAGTGGTCCAGACCTGTCGTATGTTTGACAATGTGCGACTGGTACATCACTGAATGGTTTTCTGCAGTCTTCCTGAGCCCRTGTKTTAATATCTGTTACAGAATGATGTGGGTTTTTAATGCAGAGCCACCTGAGGGGTCAAAGGTCACGGGCATCCAATGTTGGTTTTCAGCCTTGCTGCTTGTCCAGATTCTCTGAATCTTTTAATGATTTCCTGGATTGTAGATGATGAAATCACTAAATTCCTTGAGTTGTTTATTAAACTGTTGGACTATTGGCTCACACAAAGTGGTGAACCTCACCCCATCCCTGCTTGTGAATGGCTGAGCCTTTCGAGGATCCTACCTTTATACCCGATCATGACACTCACCTGTTTCTTTTTTCTTTTTTTAAATCAAATATCTATCTATATATATATATATA